GGGGGGGGGGGGGGCCTGTCAATGTGCAGTGGCTGCTTCTCAAACCCCAAATGATGACACATAACCTGTGTGCATAAAAGGCAGAGTCTTTAAATCGAGTTTGCCCTGGGAAATTTGGTACCGTCTCAAATTTTCTCACCATGGGTTTAGGACATGGTGGTCCCTGTCCTAAGAAGCCTAGAGCATGGTTAGAGATAGGACCTAAACCCAAGAAGCACTTAAGAATCTTTGTGGTTCCCTCTACCTGTAAAACTCTATGGTTCCTGTGAAGAATATCTCTGAATTATTTGTAAGCTTAGTGAAAGTAGGCTCCAGATGTCACATTCCTTCTGTACAGATTGACTGGGGCACGAATGCCAGCCCTTCCGTCCATTAACTATGTGACCTCGGGCAAGTCATTCAGGGACCTGTGTCTGTATCCCCACCTATGAAATAGGGATGATAATAGCAACCAGGGGTTTAGCAGAGTTAAATGAGACGGCAAACAGTATGTGCACTTAAGACAGTGGTTGGCATGAAAGACAAGCTCAGTGAGTGTTCCTTCCCTTCCTTGCCCAGTGCAGGGCTCCGTGCTCGGCCCAAACCAGACGCTTCAGATTTGAGAATGTAAGATTGAGCAGATGAACTAGGAATGACAGCCACAGGCAAACCGTAGGTAGTTGCTAAAAGTGATCAGTCCCTGATAATTCTGCTGCCCCCCACCTGAGGCCCCTTCCCAGTGCCCGCCCTCTCCATGCTCCCCCGGTCCCAGCCCCTCACATTATAGGCGTCCATGATGAGCTGTACCACGTTGCTGGAGTCCTCACTCAACTCCCCAACTGCGGACTTAGGAATCAGCTTACTCAGCTCCTGAGTTAAGAGGAGTCCAGGGAAATGGTGGGTCACAGCTCTAGGGAAATGGGCTTCTGCGGGTCTGGAAGGAGGGATTGTGGGGGTAGGGTGGAGAATGGGGTCTTTGAGGAAGTTGAGAAAGGCTTGAAGTGGGAAGGTCTGGCATTCAGCCAGCTCTCACCTGGTAGACAGGCAGTGTGGCACTGGTGACGGCAAAGATGGGCTGGATGTTTGCTGCAGAGAGGGCCTGGGCTACCTGACCCACAGAGGGGTAGTCCTGGGCAGGGAGCGGGGAAAGGTAAGCACCACAGGTCTCCCCTATAACATCCAAGGTGCCCTCAGCCCAGGAAATCCAGGAACCAGGGCTCCACCAGCTAGAGGAACCCTGGAGGCTCGGGAAGGCAGAAGGGGCTAGGGAGTGGGGTGGCACGGGGTTCTGTCTGAGCAGTGGGGGCACATGGAGCGAGGAGCTGGTGGGAAAGATGGTAGGGTGGTCACTGGTAAGGACAACGAGGCTGGGGAGAGGGGGGTCTGGGAGTAGAGGAGGTGTGGCTCGGATGGGGAGGAGTGGAGCAAGGGTGGGGACTCACAAACTCTGGGCTTCGACTATAGAGGCCATTACTGTCCAAGTGGCAGTGCCCGTCGCTGGGCATGAAAATGCCACCCAACTTCCCATCCCCAGCTGTGTGGAATGTGTCATCTGAAGTGAACACCAGCAGTCGGGACACATTTCTCCAGCCAATCTGCTCCTGGAATCGGGGTGGGGGTGGGGGTGGAGGTAGGCTGTGCACCTGGGCTCCATGAGCCAAGGATTTGCCAGCCTCATTCTGAGTCACTTTGTCTATCTCCATACCCAGCCCCCCCCTCCGCCACCCCCCCCCATCTCCAGCTCCCTGCTTCCCCCCAATCCCCCAGACAGGGCTGCTGCTAGCGGAGGCCTTCTTATGAATTAGAAAAACATGCCTCTTCCTCAAGATATTTTACTCCAATCCACCAGGAAATTATTAAAATAAATATGCAAACTCCAGTGACTATGGTACAAAGGGCACCCCCAGAACCAGGCACTACACGACCCTAGGTGGCAGTCTTGGCCCCAAAGGGTTCTTCAGACTCAGATCCCCTCCCCGCCTCCTCACCTGGCAGAGCGCAGCCTGCAGAATGGCATCAAAGCCACCTTCAGGCGAGTCCAGGTTGCCAGACACCCTCTGGCGTCCCACCTCCCGCTCGAAGGCCTTAGCATCCGAGGTCAGGGACAGCACGTGGCGAAAGCTGAAGGGAGGCTGGCAATGCTCCAGCCGGGTAGGGCAGGGGTGGATAAGTTTGGAGGGCACTGTGCTCACAAAGGGCAGCACCGTTTTGTCCACGAAGGAGCCAAAGCCTGGGGGGGGGGGGGGAGAATCGCGAAGGTTGTGCCCAAAGTCACTGGCCAGCAGCAGGGTGGAAGGTCTGCTGCTGAGGACTCAGAAGGCAAAGGTCCATGGGAAGTGGGGGGGTGAGGGGGACAGTCAGAGAGGAGCAGAGATCACGAGAGCGGGTGCTCCTAGAGCACAGGGACTGAGTACCTGGCAGGGACAAAGGGTTTAGGCCACTGACTCAGGGCAGTGGGGGATGGAGGAGATTAAGAGGAGGATGAGGGGAGGGTCAGACAGGATCTCTCTCTCCCGAGGAAGGAGAGGGTGTAGGGTGTAGTAGCAGCATGAGGCAAAGGAGGGGATCTTGAATAGGGCAGATGTGAGTGTGGAAGCCACAGCCAGGGACAGGGACATTTAGACCTTTTCCTAGAGACACAGACAGGGCTGAGAAAGTGGCATCAGGGCAGTATCTGGGTTGGCAGGTCCACAGTGCGCTGTCTGACCCCTGGGAGCTGTCTGAACGCGGTCTGGCCAGACTCTGGGCCTCGGTTACCCCCACCCGTAGTCTCTTAAATCCCCTCCAGTTCTGTCCTAGAAGGTGGATGTTCTGGGAGAGAGACGCCAGAAACCCGGGGCCTGGCCAGGTCTGTTAAAAACCGGGAGAGGGCAGGCAGGGCCCCTGTGCGCCCAGGACGCTGGCAGAGGCAGAAGCGGCTTTTGCAGGCAGAGGCCGAGCTCACCGATGCGCACTGAGTGGGTGACCTCCTGCAGCCGCGCCAGCAGGTCTTGTCCGAGCTGGCGCACGCGCTCCAGGTCGTCCTTCATGGAGTAGCTCAGGTCCATAAGGTAGTACAGGTCGACGGGGTAGCCCTCTGCCCGGAGGAAGCGCACCCGGAGCTGCTGGGGCTCCCCTGGGGAAGCGGGGTGGGGGATGGCGCGGGTCAGCGAGCGCCATCGAATCTCAGCCCGGACCTCCAGCCCAGCCCGCCGCCCCCTGACTCACCCGGCCGCAGCGTGACCCGGACCTTTTGCGGCGCCAGCTGGGTGGCCCCCTCGCCGCGATCGCCCTGGCCGAGCGGCTGGTCCTGCAGCACCTCCTGCCAGCCGCGGGGCTCCTCCAGCTCCCCGGGGGGGCAGCCCTGGGCCAGCAGCTCCTGTCGCTGGCCGCAGCGCCGCGCCTCCGCCACCCCCGACGCGGTGAAGTTCTGCGCCCAAGGGGAAGCGCGTCGGGGACTCTAGTCCTCCACACACCCCCCAGCCCTGTTCCCAGGACTTTCACCTTCTCTCACCTTCTTCCTCTGCTCTCGTTCTCTGACTTTGATGGTTGCCTTAATCCCTCCTCGTGGTTTTCTGAGCCTTAGGATGCCCTCCCTTCCCCTTTCCCCCAACAGCCACCTCGTCCTTGTTCTTTTGTTTGAGCCTGCTTCCTATATCTCCCATCAGCCCCCCACCTTATCTAGACAACCCCCTTTCCCTAGCCACCTACCTTTCTCCTCCCCCTAGGGCCACAGACTTCCTGTTGAGATCTCAGGGACCTCACTACCACAAGAAAAAGAGGAGCCTGGCCTCCTAGTCCAACCTCCCCTGCATGCTTAGGCCCAAACTGGAAGGGGGTCAGGCTGAGACCCAGGCTAAATTCCTGGGAAGGGGAAGGACAGGGACAGAAGAGGAGACACCCCCTCCCCCCAGTTGGCTGGCACCCCTGGGACTGGCTGGGAAGTGGCAGAGGAAGGAAATAGTTACAATGGCTTCTCAACTGGCCCTGGTGCCAGACTCAGGTCCAGAGATTGAAGGAGGCAGACACATATCTGACTGTCCCCAAAGCCCCTGCCTGGCACCTCTGCTCTCTGCCTCCTGCTGACTCTGAGTCTCCTCTTCCGGTCCTCCCAGATTCCTGGGCTGGCTCAGCCTCTGCTCAGCCACTGTGGCTGTGCCTTCTCCTTCTGGTGAGTTTGCCCTCATCTCTCATCTAACTCTCCCTCTTCCTTTGAGGGAGACAGTTCTGTTCTCACCCTCGCCCCCAACTCAGTTACCTGCCATGCTCTGTCACTCCATGAGCCCTGTCTCTTTAAGGCATAAAGCAAAGAACAGCCTTGTTTGACCAGCCAGGGAGACACCTGCTCCCCAGCATCCTTCCTGGCCACTTAGGCAGATCAAGCCTTTCCCCCAAGGTGTACACACCTCTAACTCCTTCCCTTCTACTCCCCCAGCCACAGGCTGCTACATACCTTAGGAACATTATGAGGTACACACACCCCCAACATAGACTCAGAAACCCAGTCACATACTTTCTGCTAAAGACTAACCCCCAGTGTGATGGCATTTGGAGATGGAGCCTTTAGGAAGAAATTAGGGTTAGATGAGATCATGAGGGTAGAACCCTCATGATGAGATTAATGCCCTTGTAAGAAGAGGCACCAGAGAGCTTGTCTACAGCCTGCCTGCAAGCCAAGAAGAAGGTTGCCACCAGAAACCAAATTGGCTGGCATGTTGATCTTGGACTCCCAGCCTCCAGAACAATGAGAAATAAATTCCTGTTGCTTAAGCCACCCAGTTTTGTTATGGCTGCCCAGGCTGACAAACGCACTTCTTCACATGTATACACGTACCACAGGTCCCTCTCCCTGTACACAAGCATGAGTTCCAGCACAGACACACTTCCTCCAAATTTATGGTTACAAGTCTTTTCCGTATATACACAAACGCACAGGTACACAAACATATACACACAGGAAACTTGCATGCTTGAGTATGCACACACACACAACCACGCACAGGAGTCCTATGTGCACAAACTCAGTCACGCACAGGACTGCAGAGAGCACCCGGAAAACCACACAGTCGCAAACCTATCTCTGTTCTGCACATACACATACACAGGGTTCAAAGGCCACGGAGCCATCTTTACCAGTTGCTTGCACCAGGCACAGCTTGGGTGTGAGAGGATGCATTTCTGGCAGGTGGGGGCCGGCTGGCAGGACCCCGGCAGGGACAGATCAGGATCCCCCCGTTCTGTGACCTTCTCTGGGGATGAGATCTTGGCATCCAATTCACTCTCACCTCGGCTCAGAGCCAGCAGGAAAACAAGGACCATTGACAAAGCCACCATGGCCTGCAATACGATACAAAGGGGGACACATGGGTCCTTAGGGAGGACCTCCAGGTTCTCAGTCCTCTAAAATTAGTCTGTGGTTGGGGCACCTGGGTGGCTCAGTGGGTTGAGTGTCCGACTTAGGTTCAGGTCATAATCTCAGGGTTTGTGAGTTCTAGCCCCACATCAGACTTGCTGCTGTCAGCGCGGAGCCTGCTTAGGATCCTCTGTCCCCCTCTCTGCCCTTCCCCCACTTTCTCTCTCTCTCTCAAAAATAAATAAACATTTTTTAATAAAATAAAGTAAGTCAAGGGGTGCCTGGGTGGCTCAGTCGGTTAAGCATCCGACTTCGGCTCAGGTCGTGATCTTCCGGTTTGTGAGTTCGAGCCCCGCATGGGGCTCTGTGCTGACAGCTCGGAGCCTGCTTCGGATTCTGTGTCTCCTTCTCTTTCTGCCCTCCGCAACTTGTGCTCTGTCTCTCTATGTCTCTCAAAAAGTAAATAAATGTAAAAAAGAAAAAATACAAAATAAAATAAAGTAAGTCTGTGGTTGTCACTCTCAAAACTCTACCCCAGGGGTGCCTGGCTGGCTTAGTCGGTAGAGCGCGAGTCTTGTTCTTAGGGTCATGAGTTCAAACCCAACCTTGGATGTAGAGCTTACTCAAGAAAAAAAATAAAAAACCTCTACCCCAAATCTTTATCTCCCTTCATAGTTTCACTTCCCCCTGTGGATTCAGCAGTTTCTTCAAAATGTTGGGAAGGGGCAGGTCCCAGGCCTGGGTAGGAGCCTCAGACAAACCCTGTCCCTCCTGTGTGCAGACTTCCCTAGGGCCAACGTGGGCAAAATGGCCTAACAAGAGTCTGGGGACTAGGCCTGGAAGCACTAAGGTCTACATCCGCCCAGGTCTATTCACCAAGATTGCAAGCCACAGTGGAATCAGAACCGAACAGGAAACAGACCGGGTTCTGGTCCTGCTTCAGTCCCTCACTGGCTGTATGGCAAGTCAGACTTTTTCTCTGGGCCTTAGTTTCCACATCTGTAAAGAGAGAGAGTTGAATAAATAATCTGGCAGTCCTTGCAGCTTTCATAATCTTGGATTCTAAGTATAGGAAGAGGGTCAAGGATTCTAAATAAAGGAGGAAGGTCGGGGAATAGGAATGAGAGGAAGGAAGGCTGGAGCTGATGAAGAAGTGTGTGAAAGAAGCAGGGAAGGGTAGCCAACATGGTAGCAAGAGGAATGAAAATTAGATCATAAGAAAACTTTCTAAAAGTCTGGGATAACGGAGGAAGGCAGGCCATGGTTGGCAAAATTTTCTTTTTCCTGTCCTTTGCACAAAGCAAATATAGACTGGAGAAAGAGCCTGTGGCAGGGTAATTCCTGGAATGACCTCTAGGCAAATTTCTGATTTTAAAAAACGTATTAATTTAAAAAAAATGTATTAATTAAAATTTTGAATAGGCAATCCATAGCCATGCTTCAAAACTCAAAAAGTTAAATCACAATGGCCTTTTTTTTAGAGGTGGGAAAGCTGATCCTATACAGATCCATTATATGGATTGATTCAATTATATGGAATTGTGGGGTGTCTGGGTGGCTCAGTTGGTTAGGCGTCCAACTTTGGCTCAGGTCATGATCTCGGAGTTTATAAGTTCGAGCCCCAGGTCGGGCTCCGTGCTGACAGCTCAGAGCCTGGAGCCTGCTTTGGTTGTGTCTCCCTCTCTCTGTGCCCCTCCCCCTCCTTAAAATAAATAAACATTAAAAAAAAAAAAAAAACCACCTGAAAAAGAATGAAATGGGAGGACTCTCACTTCTCACTTGCAAAACTCACTAGAAAGCTATAGTAATCAAGACAACGTGATACTGGCATAAAGATAGGCATATAGATCAGTGAAATAGAATGGAGAGTCCAGAAATAAATCCATCCATTTATAGCCAATTGATTTTCAGCAAGGGTGCCAAATTATTTGATGGGGAGAGAACAGTCTCCAACAAATGGTACTGGGATAACTAGATATCCACATGTAAAAGAATCAAGTTCAATCCCTACCTCACAACATATACAAAAATTAAGTGAAAATGGATCAAAGGCCTAAATGTAAGCCCTCGAACTATAAACTCTTAGAAGAAAATGTCAGGGTAAATCTTTGTGATCTTGGCCTTGACAGTGGATTCCTAGCTATGACATCAAAAGCGCAAGCAACAAAAGAAAAAAATAGATAAACTGGACTTCATAAAAACATAAAACTCTTGTGCATCAAAGAGCACTATGAAATGAAAAGACAGGCTACAGAAAGGGAGGAAATATTTGCAAATCATGTATCTGATAAGTATCCAGAATATATAGAGAACTCTTACAACTTGACAACAAAAAGGCAAACCACCCAGTTTTTGAACAGCAAGGGATTTAAATAGACATTTCTTTGAAGAAGATAGACAAATAACCAACAAGCACATAAAAAGATGCTCAACACCATTAGTCATCAAGGAAATGCAAATCAAATACCACAGTGAAATACCACCACACACCCAGCAGAATGGCTAGAATAAAATAAAATAAAATAAAATAAAATAAAATAAAATAAAATAAAACAGAAAATAAGTGTTGGTGAGGATGTGGAGAAGATGGAACCATCATACGTTGCTGGTGGCACGGCACTGTGGGGAACAATTTGATAATTCCTCAGTAAGTTAAAACAAAAACTGGGACGTGACTGTTCAAAGCAGTGTTATTCACAGTGGCCTAAAGGTAGAAACAGCGCAAACGTCCATCAACTGATGAATAGCTAAACAAAATGTGATCCATCCATACGGTGAAGCATTATTTGGCCCTAAAAAGGAGCAAAGTGCTGATTCAGGCTACATCGATGACCTTGAAAACACTAGGCTAAGTGAACGAAACCAGTCACAAAAGACCACATCTTGTCGGATGCCGTTCATGTGAAGTATTCTGATTCCCCAAATCCACAGAGGCAGAAAGTGGATGCCAGGGGTTAGGGAGGGAGGGGAGGAAGAGGAATAACTTCTTGATGGGCAGTCTTCTTTTGGAGGGAAGAAAAAGTTCCAGAACTAGATGGTGGTGATGGTCGCACAACATCATAAATGTACTTAAAGCCACTGAACTGTACACTTAAAAAAATGGGTTAAGGGATCAATTTTATGTGTGTTTTATCTTATCAAAAATCAAAACCTTGAGATAGTGAGAAATCTCCCATACCCATCCTCCTCCTCCCATTTCCACACCTCACCCTAAATGAATAACCGTCATTTTAAGTTATCTTTTGTTGCTGATAATCCTTCTAGAGATTGTTTTATGCATACACAAACTAATGTGAAAATATATACTCTCCAAATGGTAGAATCACATGACAGAAGTCTACAATCACAATTCTAGAATACACGCGGGTTTGTCCCCCTTTTTTCTTTTTTTAAAAGATTTTTATTAATTTTTTTTTTTTTAATTAATTCTGAGAGACAGAGAGTACAAGCAGGGAAGGGGCAGAGAGACGAGGGAGAGAGAGAATCCCAAGCAGGCTCCATGCTGTCATCGCAGAGCCCGATGCGGGGCTCGAATCCATGAACCGTGGGATCATGGCCTCAGCCGAAATCGAGACATTTAACTGACTTGAGTCACCTAGGTGCCCCTTTTTTTCTTTTAATTGCTTTTCTTCGAGATCCTGCTACTCAAGAAAATAAAGAACTTCCTTGTTCATTTTCACAGCGGTATACATTTCCGTGGCATGGATGTATCATATCCCAGTTAGTCTCTCAATGGGATGTAAATTGTTTCTAATTGCTCACTGTTAAAACTAATGCTGGGGGCGCCTGGATGGTTCAGTCTGTTAAGCATCTGACTTTTGGTTTCCGCTCAGGTCGTGATCTCACAGTTTGTGGATTCGATACCTGCACTGGGTTCTGTGCTGTCTCTGCTGAGCCTGCTTGGGATTCTTTTTCTCTCTCTGCCTCAAAATAAATAAATAAAACTATTGCAGTGAAAACCCATGCATTTATCATTTCACATGTGTGCAAGTGAATCCGGAAGATAAATCCTGGGAAGAGGATTTGTAGGGTCAATAAATTGGCATCATTTGTAATGCTGGCGAGTGATTGCTGACGCAACCGCCTTCGCAACTATGCCAGTTTATATTCCCATCGGCGGTGTGTGTATGAGAAAGGCCAACTAACTCCTTGTCCCGAAGCGTCTGCATCCGCCCCAGCCTGGGCTTAGATTCAGACTGGGGAAGGAAGATTCAGACCTCAGCTGTCCTGCTCCCCACTGTGCACCATTTGGGACCTCAGGTGTAGGATATATATATGTCTTGGAACCTCCACCCCCATGCGAGGCCGGTTCAGGCTCAGCCTCACTGTAACCTCAGCCCCGCTTGCTCTGCACGCCTGTGGTCGAGGAGGCCTGAGATGCTGTAGCACAAAGCCCAGTTTTGACTCATCTGTCACAGGTGGGGCCCCCAGGATAAGACAAACCAGAGACCTCAAGCCCACTCATGTCCCCTAAAGGGAGCCCCTGGGACTCTCTGGACAGCGTTCCCCCACCCTCTTCTCCCAATTGTCCCCCTCATTTCTTACTTGGGGATACATGGCCTGCCACTTGTTAATTTCTCTCTCTGTCTCCTTCTCTCTCCCCCACCACCCTCCTGTTCAAAAGTTTGATGACATCCCTCTGCTGCGTTTCTCTTCTCCGCGTCTTTACGGTTCTTTGTTTTACTTCCTTTTCCTCTCCTATCCTAACCAAAGAAAGGCAGAGCTGTCTAACTCAATCCCCTCTTACAAATGGAAACCTGAATCCCAGAGTGATAAGTGACTTGCCCACAGTCACACAATGAACAGGGATGAAGACAGGTCGGGACTCGGTCTGTTTGCCACTTTCCTCGCCTCCAACCCAGGCACCATCATCATCAAAAGCCGTGCCTTCTCCCTTCTAGTTCCAGTGGGCTCCACCTAATCCCCTTTCTCTTCCCTTGATGGGTCCTCTTCAGTCGGTCTTCTTTCCCCCCGTGGTTGTTCCCTTTTCCTGGGCTCTATCCTGACTCCAACACCCTAACACCCCCTTCAGCACCTGAGAAACAGAGCATTTTCCCAACCTATCCAGATCTTCCAAATCAAGTGGAATCCTCTGCTGCCCACTCAGTGTCCCAAGGAGGGAAGAGAACCGAGCCACGCTGCCACAGTCTCCCAGGACACCATAGCCAAGGTGCCACTGGCAGATCTGAGCTGAGCACCAGGCACTAGGCAGCAGGGATAGCAGCTGGGGAGTCCTCTTGGGAGAGCCCTACCATGACATAACCCTTGGCACATGGCAGGCACTCAGATGATAGCATCATACATCCCCTTCCTTCTTTGCCTCCCTCCAGGCCCACTTTTGGGAAACACATGCAGGAGAGAGAGGTGAGGAGGGTACAGGGTTGGGGGGGGCGGGGAGGGAGAGCTTGAGAAGCTGGAGGGAACAGGGATGAGGATCTCAGGAATGCAGAAAGGACTTCAGAGCCTTTCTCGAGTCTCACCTGAACCCTGGGTGTCTTGGGATCAGAGCCCAGCGTCCTCTTCCCGGGAGATTGGGAGCAGGGGTGGGGGCTGGGCTAGTAAGGAGAGGAGGCTGGAGGGCTGGTGCCCTGGTACTCACAGGTGCGTGCAAAGCAGCCCTTCCTCCAGCCACGGCGGCCTTTGTGTACTGATCTGGGAGGCTGCAGAGGAGGAAGTGACACACCCTGGGGTGGGGTGGGGGAGATTTCGGGGTGGTGGGGTAACTGATCTAGAAGGTGGGGCCCAGAGGGGTGGAACTGGGCCAAGGGGGTTGACAATACAGGGATCTGAAAGGAAGCACGGAGGCTTGTCTGTCTACTGAGCACCTACTACATGCCGGGCATATCACAATATTGTCATTAATCCTTGCAACAACTTCATGACATATCCGTATGTTAATGTCCCCCCGGGGTCAAATTTTACAGATGTAGAGGCTAAGAGGGAAAGGTGGACGTTGAGGCTCAGAGGTAAGAAATAAAAATCCTTGCCCAAGGCCACATAGTAATAACTAGCTGGTCTGGGTTTTCAACCCAGGTCTGCCTGCCTGGCAAATCGATGGGACCCTTCCACTTCTTCACACAGGAACACGATAGCAAGGAAGAAATATGGAGGTAGTAAGTCCTGGAATAAGTGGGAAATCAGTGGCGGCAGGCTCTAATTTTGAAAAACGAGTGCCCACTGTATGATGGTGGATGCTTAACTCCATGGGCTCTGGAGCCAAACTGCCTGAGCTCCAATCCTGGCTCTATCACTTACAGCAGTGGGAACTTATGTAGTTGCTTAACCTTCCTGTGGCTTCTTCTCATCTGTCAAGTGGCACTCAGGATTGTTGCGGGAATCAAATGAGGGGACTCCTACCAATTGCTTACAAGAGAGCCTGGCACAACCTAAGGGCTTGAAAATAGACTCAGTGGCTGAGAAGTAACACGGTGAGAAGCGGAGAGGCTGAGATATCCAAGGTTGGGGCACGGGGAACTTGGAGAAAGACACAGGGCCGGGCTCAGAGAATGAGACTGGGAGGCCACTGCGCAGAGACAGCAGTGGCGGCTGGGAAAGGCGTAGAGGAGGCAGAGAGTGCGGTAATGGCAAGGATGAAGCCTGTCTGGAGAAGAGGGTGTGGAAAATACCTGGCCCTGGCCCTGGCCCACACTTGACCACAGGGAACTCAGAAGGAACTGGATGTGAGATCTGTCACAGGTCTGTCTTACCTGCCCGGAGGGGCACTCTGTGCAGCAGGGACTGACCAGCCAGGCACCGAGCCAGGTGCCCGTCTCTTAGTGGGTACACAGGGAGCATCAGGTGGGTCTTAGGAGTGTAGCCGCTGGAAGGAGCAACTGGGGACAGGGGTGGGGGGAGGTGGGCTTCTTCGGCTGGCCTCAGGCTACCGGACCTTATACCCTTCCCCCACAACCAGGGGTTACCATGGTGATGACCCCTTCTTCCCCACAGGCCCTGTGGTTTCCTCTAGAGCTTCTTTCACTTTCTTCTTCTGCTTTTCCTCAATCTTCTCTCTCCCCTACTCCCACATCCTCAACCCCTCTCTCTCTCCCACAAGCACAGGTCATTCTTGAAGGCGGCCAGGTACAAGGTAGGCAGGGTGCTGTCCCAGGGAAGAAGGCGGGAACCAGGGTAGGGGGAGGGCAGCTTGGAGGGGGAGTCACAGAGGGAGGGGGGAGAGTCCAGGGGCACAGTGGGAAGGCCTGAGCGGGCTGAGGATGGGAGCTGTTGCAGAGGGGAGGCATGGAGGGGCAAGGATGTTAGTACAGAAGGTAACAGTGGGGTCATGGGGATGAGGTCACGGGGTGGGGTGGGGTCAGAAGGGGCAGCGGGAGTGATTTGTAAGGTGATAGTGGGGTCATAGAGTCGGGGAGCTCATTAAGTAAAGGGAGGGGTGGTGTAAAACAGAAACACTGTAACTTAGATGCACGCTGCGGTTCTTTTCTTCTGGGGCCAGAGACCCTCACGAGAACCAAGTGCAGCTTCCATGAACCCCTTCCCCAGAGATGGGCAGATATGCACATACACATAACTGGGGATGGGGACAACTTAAAAGACCTCCGGGCCCATTCACACCTCCCCAGAGGCCCACCGCATCCAGTCTAAGAACACACACACCTGGTGGCTGCAGGAGGCCCAGACACGCGCCTCCCGCGGTGAGCTCCTGGGGGCTCCCTTTACCCCACTTTCCCACCACCGCCATCCAGGCACATTTCATCCGATTTCCTTGGTTTCCCTAAGAAAGCTGCAAAATCCGGTAGATTGGGAGCTCACCTTCCTCACCCCGTCCCTCTCCAGGTCAGCTAGTCATGTCCCCTGCCACTTCCCAGAGGGAGCCACATGCCATGAGTTTCCATCACTTTATTTTGCAAAAATAGAAAACTCAGCAATATGCGATACAGCGGGGAAGGGGAGATGTAAACAGAGGGGAGGGAACAGCACCCTGACCCCCCAGAGAAAAAGGGGAGCCAGTGGGAATCTTATTTGGCAGCTAAATACAAACTGGGGATTGGAGGAAGAAGGGAGGGGTCACAGGGGCCCTGGGCTCCCCCTCCCAAGACCCCTGGAGGAAGGGGTCAAGTCCAGGGTGTAAACAAAAGCTAATAAATAAATAGAGGTTTCCTCTGGGTCAGGGAAGGACCAGCTAAGCAGCGCCCACCCCCCACTCCCTGGGCCAAGCTGCTCTGGAGATCAAGGGGGGTAAGGCACTAGGGGGAGAGGGATCCCCTGGCCCCTCTGTAGTGTAGGAGCGTCCCTGCCCCGGTGGCTGAGATGGGAGGCAGGGGAAGCCCAAGGCACATGACAGGGCTCGGGGAGGGGCTTGTAACGGAGGGCACAAGGTCAACTCTGGGCCCAAGCAAAGAGGTGCCGAATGTACGCGCATCTGTCCCTTTCACCCTCTGGCCCTCCACAGAAATGCAGGGCCCAGCCTGCCCCAACCTGACCTGGCACGAGGATGGGGCACAGAGGGCAGTGTGAGCCCGGCAGGTGCATTACGCAGCATGAGGCACCAAGGGCAGGGGCAAGAGGGTGGGCTCAGCCCTCCCCCTGCGCCCCTTTTTTGGTCTCTAGTGTTCCTGTTTGCTCCCAGAGGCCTAAGCACCTGGCAGAGGAAGGGGCTTTGGAACTGGCAGGGTCTTCCTCCTGCCCTGGGGAGCCTGGGACCCTGGTGTCTGAGGGGCAGCGCCGAGATTTTAGAGTCCAAACCCAGGCTCACTCCTCTGCCCTCTCTCCTGGTGGGAGCAGGGCAGGCCCCCGAGACAGGAAAGGGAGCCAGTTAGAACAAAAAGGGGATGAACACAGAGGCACCCCTGGAAACTTTGGCAAAAACAAGGAGCTCACTGGAAGGGGTGGAGAGAGGGCAGAGCTCATCCTCCCCCAGTCACTGGCGGTGTCTGGGAGATGGTCAGTCTGCTGCCTGGAGCCCCAACCCCCACGGCAGGGGAAGTCAGGGGCCCTGGTCAGGCTGGGGGCTGCAGGCCCCTTTGCCCTGACCCCGGGGAACCTCATCCTCGCTAGAGGCCTTGGGATGGGGACCAGGCTGCGAGGAGTCGTCCTCAAACATTTCAGGGTTCTCCAGCATCTCTCGGATTAGGGGAGGCATCGGGCCTGGAATCTCCATCTTCAGGGTAATGGCCCTTTCTGCTCCTGCAACAGAGGAACAAAGGTTCAGGGGTACAGAGGCCCATGCCCCTTGAGGCCAACTCGCTAACCTTTCTTGGTCTTCCAGGGGCTCCCAGCACAAGCCTGCCACTTGTCTGTCTCAGATTCACCCTCTCTTCTGCAGAGTTCCTGGGGGCCACTCCTCTGCCTGCAGCTTCTACCTGCCTTCTCTGCCAAGCCCGTTGCCATTCTTTCAAGCCATCCCATTGTTCAGACCATCTCCTCAAAGATCACACCGAGTCCAACTGTCACCTCCACTCCCCAGGCACTCCATCCTCCTATGTCCGCGACTGGCCAATTGTTGCTAGGCCTGTTCTTACTCACATTCATAACAATAGCTAGTATTTATTGAACACCTACTATCTGCCAGGCATCCTTCTGAACCATCAATGTCCAACAGAACTTTCTGCGATGATGGCATTATCTGCTTCATCCAGTACAGTCATCACTAGCCACTGAGCACTTGAAATGCAGCTACCACAACTGGGGAATGGCGTCGTTAATTCAGGGCAGTTCTAAGCCCGTTGTGTTAACTCGTTTAGCCTTCTCGATAGCTTATGAGGTAGATGTAAGTATAGCCCGGTTTACAAACATGAAAACAAGGTACCAAAAGTAAAGGAATTTGCCCAGAGTCTCCCCACGAGCCCGTGGCAGAGCTAGGATTCCAGAGCGTAGGCCGCCCGGTTCGCACCCACTCTGTTCTTGTCTCTGCTTGTCTGCCTGCCTGTGCTGGGAGACCAACAGCTCCAGGGAGAGAGAGGGGAGGTTCCCTCATGACTAACCCTTGGTGCTGATGCCCCGGAGGTCAGTGATCTTCATGAGCATCCTTGGGAACATGTAGGGCTGGCTGGGCCGCCGCCGGCGGGCATAGAGCCTCAGGGCTTCCAGCAGTGGCTCCTGCAGCTTGTCTACTTTTTCAGGTTCCTCCAGGTCCATGCGGTCTACAGGAACAAGCACAGTGCAGTGAAAGAGAAAGAAATGGGGGACACAGTGACAAGTGGCTGATCCCCAGCTGTCCCTGACCTATGGCACTCCAAGCCCCAAACTCTGTCCTATCAGCCCTTTGCCTTATTGTTCCTGGGCCTACCCAGGCCACTTCCCCTGCTCCACGCCCTGTACCTTCTCCCCTCTGGTAAATCACTCCTGCCCACACCCCCATCTCGGCACCAGTATCTGGGACCTCCTCAGCTCTCTCTGGCTCTTCTCTCCTTTTTGTTCTATGCTCCAAGGTGCTAGAGGGCCTGTCCTGGGTCTGAGAAGTCTGTGGATGGGGCAGGTGCAACAATCCCAGGGAGAGGGACCAAGGTCTCCTGCCGGGTCACAGATCAGGTGTGGGCTGTGGTGGGAAAGGAGTCTGAGCAAACGCCAGGGGGCGCCCCTGCACCTCCGCAGATGAGGCAGATGGCGCTGAGCAGTCCTGTCTCCGTGTCATCCATCTCCAGTGGCAGGAGCTGCCCAGCAAAG